CATATGGGCACCAGTTCAAGTCCCAGCTGCTCCACTTCCGATCCAGCTCTCTGCTATGGCCTAGGAAAGCAGTAGAAGATGGCCCAAGTGCTTAGACCTCTGCTCCCGGTGGGAGACCTGGAAGAAGCTCCTGGCTCCTTTGTCTTCCTGAAAATGTTCCATGCAGTCAGCAGATCTGGTTTCTTTGTCCTCAAATTAATATGGATCTGTTGGAAAGTAATGGGCCTAAAAGTGTTAGCTTTCATATTTGAATTGTAAGCTTTGCTTCCTCCTAACCAAAACCGATCTTGCTATGGACACCTGCCTTTCCTGTACCCTGTACCCTGCCTTTCCCGTACCTTACATGTGCAAAACTGTCCAGCGACCTCCTGTAGACATGGAAACATGTGTCAGGACAGGCGGACATCACCATGTCCTCCCTATGGAAGAGGTCCCTACTTCCTACCTGTCAGGTGGAGCTTCTCCTGGACCTATCCTGCTGTAGCAGAGACACTACGTCTGCTATTGAGACACCTCCGGTGGTGATGAAATCAGTCTGTTCCAGAAACCTGGAACGTTTCATTTTTGGCTCTGTTTGGCTTTACAGCCTCCTGGTCAACTGGAGTTGGGTTTGTGTCCTAGCACCCAGAACTCTGCTTGCTGGTTACAGCCTACTCACCACCCCTCTTTCCTAAATGCTCCCGTCCTGGCTGTATTCCAAGTCGAGTGACAGCAGGTGCTGGGACGATGTTCCGTGACTACCTGGGGTGTGATGAGCATGCCGCGGGGTGAGCAAGGCCAGATCTATTACAAGCAGCCGGCGAGGGTTTTCTGAACGATGCGTCAACACAGGTGAATTAACGTGATGTAAAGCAGAGCACGTGTGCAAAACTCACAATGGGAGGAAGCCCTTGAGGAGAGGGGTGGGTAAAAAGCAGGGTAGGTTTTCCTGGAAGAGGCACATTTGAAGTTGGGTTTCAAAGAGAACCAGCTGGTTGACGTGAAACCTTAGACCTCCCTAGGATAAGTGGATCAGCATGTGCAGCCCCTGGGCCAGAGCCTGGTTCTGGTAATTGCCCGGTGATGGGAAATTTTTTGTTTGGAGAGTGTTTTTTGTTGTACATACATCAGAAAGGGCACTTAGGCCTATGTTTGTAAAAAGTCTACTGAAATCAAAATCTAAAACTTGTCTGACCTAGCTCTCAATATCCCACGGAGTTCAGAAATCCTGGGCTATTCCCACCTGGGTGGAGGGAATTAAACCAGGTAACTTTGACAGTGGTTTTGAAGAGAGAGTTTCCGACAAGAGCTAACAAAGATGTTTTCTGTGATAGTGAAGAGATTTACAGTCATTGGGGGAGGGGTGTGTGAATTGGTCCTGGAAGGCTTTGCTGTTACTTTTTTTTTTCCGATAAAAAGATGCATTTTCATCTGTCAGCATGTGAAGCTCTCTTATGCTCCCCACAGATCCAGGTTAGAGTGGAGGGTGTTTATGTCAGTCTGAAATGAAATATGTAAACAAGAGGAGAGGGGTCAGCACTGTGGCACAGCAGGTTAAAACCCCAGCCTGCAGCACCGGCATCCCTTGTGGACACCAGTTCGAGTCCCGGCTGTTCCTCTTCCAATCCAGCTCTCTGCTGTGGCCTGGGAAAGCAGTAGAAGATGGCTCAAGGCCTTGGGCCCCTGCACCCATGTGGGAGACCCGGAGGAAGCTCCTGGCTCCTGGCTTTGGATAAGCTCAGCTCTGGCTGTTGCGGTCATTTGGGGAGTGAACCAGCAGAATGAAGACCTCTCTCTCCCTGGAACTACCTCTCTCTGTAACTCTGTCTTTAAAATAAATAAAATATTTTTAAAAAGAAAGAAAAGGAGAGGAGAAATTCTGGAATTGGCATCCTTCTTCTACTAGTTTCAGGTGAGATGTGCACTAGTGTAGCCCCTACTAGCCAGCCAGGTGACAGAGTTGCACAATGGGTTGGGGACTTAGACTGTCCTCGAATCCTAGGGTCCCAGGCCTGCACCTTTCTCCCCTATCCAGGGCAGAGACTGACTGATGCCTCTCACTCCACCCAGCCTATAGGGGCAGAGCTGCGGCCAACATTCCCAACACCCCTAGGGCATGCTCCTTCCTGCTCCGTAGTGGTCCTCTGGCCTCTGACAGTGGAAGAGTGTTAGGCTAATGAGGCTTGGTCACTGGTGTCCTGCTGCTGCCAAAGTAAATAAAAGTCATTTTTGTGACCTAAATACCACTGGTCTCAGTCATATTCCATGTTACATCATTCAGAGCATTGTAAGACAATTTTTCCAGTATGAACTAGTTTCATTAGAATCATACTAGAGGGTCTTGGGGAAATTCTGTATGAAACGTTTGGTCTAGAAATACCTTCTCCTTCAACTCTACAAGTCATCAAACAAAACACCAAAATAGGGGCCAGTGTGTGGCATAGTGGGTAAAGGCACCGCCTACAGCACCAGTATCCCATGTTGGCACTGGTTCATGCCCTGCCTGCTCCACTTTTGATCCAGTTCCCTGCTAATGGCCTGGGGAAAGCAGCAGAAAATAGCCTCAGTGCTTGGACCCCTGCCACCCACGTGGGACACCTGGATGAAGCTCCTGGCTCCTGGCTTCAGCCTGGCCCAGCCCTGGCCATTGTGGCCATCTAGGCAGTGAACCAGTGGATGGAAGATCTGTCTCTCTGTCTCTCTCCCTCTCTCTTTGTAACTCTGGCTTTCAAATAAAGAAAAAAATCTTTGTAAAAACCAATAAAATATTGTTTAGCCAGACATTCTTGGCAGAGACTTTGGAAACCCTAATACTCTGTGTAGGTAAGGGCATCAGAAAATGGGCAGTATTGCCAAGACTGAAGATTGGTGTGGTGTCCTTTGGCACTACAACTCAAAAACCACAAAAATGTTTGTATCTTGACTTCTGTTAATAGCAGTAGCTAAAAACTGATTTTCAAGCCCCCTTCTTCCTCAAAAACTAACTGTAAACAGGGTTTTTAAAAAGGCCAAAAACTTCATTAGCCTTGAAGTAGGAGATTGCTAGCGCCAGTGTGAGCTAAGTTGAAGGAAGTGAGGAGCCAACTCAGCAGAACAAAGCAGTGTTGTGGAAACAAGTGAGAGGTTTCCAGTCCATCCCCATTCATTTCCCTGGATTTCAAGGAAGAGCGCTGGCAGCTTGAGCAAGGTCACCACAGATCAGCAGCTTTCCCAGGCCTCCCCCACAGATGGAAACGCGCACAAGCCGCGTCTTGCTGTTCCTGGAGCAGCGAGTTGGCTTCAGCGCCAGGACGAACCCTGTGGTCTTCAGGCTGCAGATGTCCAGGGCAGGGCAGAAGATGAAAACGTCAAGGGGGAAACGAGAAAGCGTACAAAAATGTGTATAAAATCCCAATGTATAAATTTGTAGAACCGTAATGAGGAACATAAAACATGAATATGTAGGCGACAGTTGTCTCAATTATGTTAATGTACCAATTTAAATTTTAATAAATCCTAATGGCTTTGAAATGAATTATGGAGGTGGAGAGGCATGACCAAATAATTCTGAAATTCATCTGGATAAGAGATATCAGAGAATAGGCCGGAAGAGTCTCAGAAAGAAGCTACAACCAGGACTCACTGTGGAGCAGAGCTATTCACATGCAAGGAAAAGCCTCGAGTTCTCTGTCCAGCCAAACTGCTAACCAAGCCTGATGATAGAAAAGAAAAACAAAAAGTACCTCCCCCATATCCTTGCTTAAAGAAGAAAACCAAAGAATGTACGCTATTGAATCGGGGAGATCCATGCCAAAGCTGATAGGAGGTTCTGGGTGGCCGAAGGATTTCAGTAAATGATACTGTGATTAAGGGCTTGAGGATATAATAAGGAGAAGATGAGACGCTATGCAGAGAGGCTGCGGTCCAAGTATGAGGCAGGTCTTCTTTGTTGGACTACAAGAAGTGATAATCACAAGGAGAAAGAGGCCAGTGAGAAGGAGGCATAAAGCTCTTCTCCTCATCAGAAAAGTCTAAAACAAAGAGAAACTATAGGAAAAGACACACTTCCGAAGAAAGGCAGGGTCCAAATCTGGAGCAAACTGAAGTTGTGTGGTTTCCAGCATTTGGTCGAGTAACAAAGAGGAGAATCCTTTTGAAATAATTTTTTGAGCAGGGCAGGGTCGCGACTTTAGGACGATGGAGAAGGAAAGCTCATCAGGGCTCGCACCATGTGAATCCTGAGTATTGTTTTCAGCTTTCAGAATCGCCCCAGTGAGACAGCACAGAGGGGCTTAAGTGGGCTTTCCAGAAAAGGAAGAACATGTCCTAGGTTTTAGTAGTTTCAAAGAAAAAAATTTGACAAGGTGAAGAAAAGATGAGGGGAACTTACTCCTTATCAAAGAATGGAGCCAGGAAGTGCTGTCCCTAACTGATGTTATCGAGAGTTACAGACGTAACTGACAGTATTACAGGAAATGAAATCAGCTATGTGACCCCATGAGGGAAAGAGAGAGATGCTGGTGCCGAAGTCCTCATTTGTCTTGGCAGGAAATCAGGAGACAATGCCTCCATTTTACAAATCCAGAAATACTGTGTAAGCATATTTCAGCAATGCAGAGCTGGTAGTCACCAGAAGGAGTCTAAAAACGGCTCTCAGGGCCAGGCTTAGGGGAGAAGGGATAGTTTATCATTCGATTAACTGTGTGCATATGTCATTGTGGTAATTTGGGGGATAGCATCATGGTTAAGCAACCTTGTTACACAACAGAGTTTGGAAGTCCTAAGTCTTGACAAAGTTTAGAAAAGAAAAAAAAAGTAACCTAACACAGATTTAACCTTGTCAATCGATGATGTAATTTTGATGGCAATTACAATGTGGTGATCTTTTTTTCTTCCTTAAACTGTGATCATTATTTGCATATTTGACTTATTCATTTTATAATAGTGGCTAATCTTTGTGGGAATGTCAACTGATGTTTCTTCCTAGCAAAAGCTATTTATTTTCAGTTGGTGATTCCAGTCTCTTTGTCTTTTTAAACTAGAAGAGGAATCTCTTGTTGGCATTCGAAGCAGCCGAGAGTGTGGGCATCAAACCCAGCCTGGTAAGCATGCTATTTTGCACCCTCCTGATACTTTATTCTAAATTATATGAGAAAGAACTGAACAACTTCTTATAGAACATTGGAGTCCATTTGCAAAGGGTCTGTTGCTTGTTTTTCCCGAACCAAAGTTACCCCATTGGTCTGATCATATATGATTTAGAATTTTTTTCCATTAAAGTTTCATTAGGGGCCAGTGCCACGGCTCACCAGGCTAATCCTCCACCTGCGGTACCGGTACCCCAGGTTCTAGTCCCGGTTGGGGTGCTGGATTCTGTCCCAGTTGCCCCTCTTCCAGTCCAGCTCTCTGCTGTGGCCCGGGAAGGCAGTGGAGGATGGCCCAGGTCCTTGGGCCCTGTACCCACATGGAAGACCAGGAAGAAGCACCTGGCTCCTGGCTTCAGATCAGCGCAGCGTGCCAGCCGTAGCAGCCATTTGGGGGGTGAACCAACAGAAGGAAGACCTTTCTCTCTGTCTCTCTCTCTCACTAACTCTGCCTGTCAAAAAAAAAAAAAAGGTTCATTATGGATAGTGTTCAGTTCTGGAAACACAGTGGACTGAATTGTCGTTAAAGCCCTCCTGTTCAAATCACCTAGAACTATTTGGAAAAATAAATGTGATTTTAAACTATGTCAGTATTCATGGGCCGGCGTCTGGCCTGACAGTTAAGATGCTGTCTGGGACGCTTGCATCCCTATCGGGGTACCTGAGTTCAAAAGTCCCAGCTCAGGCTCCCAGCTCCATCTTCCTCTAGTGGGTGCCTAGCAGGTCTGAGACTGGATCCCTGCCACTAAGCAGTACAGCTACACCGGGTTTGCAGCTCCCAGCTTTAGTCAGTACAGCTCAGCTCAGCCATTGCAGCCCTGTGGGGGAGTGAATCAGTGGATGGGAGCTCTTTGTCTACCTGTCTTTCCCAAAAGGAGCAAAAAAATAATATAGAGCTGTGCTCTCAAGGAAGGGTATGAAGTAGCCCGAAATCAGAATCTTTAAAAGAAGTGAAAATCAGAACCATACAGCATGAACTGAGACTGTGACAGCCTCAGGGGGTGGAAGTGGGGGTGGGGGTGGTGGTATAGGGGTTGTAATGAATGGATATAAAGCTACAGACTTTATTTAATGCCCACACCAGAACAAGAGACAAGGCCCTGAGTTAGAAACAGAAACCCCTGCCATAAAACCAAGGCCTACCACATGCTGCTTCTTTTAGTGAAATCAGAAATTTTTATTTTAAGATTTATTTTATTTATTTGAAAGGCAGGGTTACTGGAGGAAGGGGGGCGGGTGATCTGCTGGTTCATTCCCCAAATGGCCGCAATGGCCAGAGCTGGACCAAGCCAAAGCCAGTAACCAGAAGCTTCTTCTGGGTCTCCCACGTGGGTGCTGAGGTCTAAGCATCTTCCACTGCTTTCCCAGGTGCATTAGCAGGGAGTTGGATGAGAGGTGGAGCAGCTGGGACTTGAACCAGCACCCATATGGGATGCCAGCAGGCGCTGCAGGTGGTAACTTCACCTGCTACACCACAATACCGGCTTCGAAATCAGAAATTTTTAAAGTTCCACCTGACATCTAGGGTGGTGATCAAAAATTTTGTCCCCACCTTGAATTTTTTGCGAGTGGATGGAGAGAAAAGAAACTCTCTTATAAGAAAAGAAAACAGGTCCAGATGAGGTTTTCAGTACGAATTTATCAAATTCATGTTGCATGAAGCCCTTCACTTGTATCCTGAGGCAGAAAGCTCCTGGGCTGCTAGTGTAATGGCTGCTGAAAAGTGTGCTCTCAATCAGAAAGACAAACCGATCCACTTGAGCTATTCAGCAGATAGCCCGGCGAGAGGATTATCTGCCAGAACTACAGATAATAAATAGGAAGCAGACCTACAAGAAAGACTACTTTTAAACATTAGAGACATGGAAAGAGGAATAGAAGCCACTGCCAGGCCGGCGCCGCGGCTCATCAGGCTAATCCTCCGCCTGCGGCGCCGGCACACCAGGTTCTAGTCCCGGTCGGGACGCCAGATTCTGTCCCGGTTGCCCCTCTTCCAGGCCAGCTCTCTGCTGTGGCCCAGGAGTGCAGTGGAGGATGGCCCAAGTGCTTGGGCCCTGCACCCCATGGGAAACCAGAAGGAAGCACCTGGCTCCTGCCTTCGGATCAGCGCGGTGCGCCGGCCACAGCGCGCCGGCCGCGGCGGCCATTGGAGGGTGAACCAATGGCAAAAGGAAGACCTTTCTATCTCTCTCTCTCACTGTCCACTCTGTCAAAAAATAAAAAAAAAAAAAAAGAAGCCACTGCCAGTTCCAGCCTCCTGCTAACGCATATCCTGGGGAGCAGCAGTAATGACTCAAGTACTTGGGCCCCTGCCACCCATGTAGGAGACCTGGCCCAGCCCCAGCTGTTGTGGGTATTTGGGGAGTGAACCAGTGGATGGCTTTTTCCTGGCTCTTTGCCTATCCCCTGGTGCATTTCTCTCTCCCTCTCTCTCCCTCCCTCTCCCTCCCTCTCTCTACCTCTCTTTCAAATGAATAAAATACATATTTAAAAAAAAAAAAGAAGATAACCCAGGAGAGAAGTCTCAATGGCTAGAGTAGACAATTCACAGAAAAGGATCACAAATGGCCAATACACATTGTAAAGGATGTTTATTATCATCAGTGATCAGAAAACTCTAACTTGAATTAATAGTGAGATACAATTCCATAACCTCAGAGGATATGGGAAATGTGAAAAATGGAAAAGTGAAACTACAACTGTTAGAGAAATCTTGATACTATGAACAGTGTTTCGTGAATAAAATTTGAAGCAGAATGCATGGTTTTCTAAAGGAATATCAATATATCTCTTCAAATATTAAATGCAAATATTATTCCAAAACTTACTCAAAAAGAAATAGAACTTTAACTATTAAAGAAGTGGAATTCATACTTTAAAATGCAGTTACAGGGCTGGCGTTGTGGTGTAGCAGGTAAGGCAGCCGCCTGCAGTGCCGGCACCCATATGGGCGCTGGTTCGAGGCCTGGCTGCTCCACTTCCAATCCAGCTCTTTGCTATGGCCTTGGAAAGCAGTAGAAGATGGCCCAAGTCCTTGGGCCCCTGCACCCATATGGGAGACTGGGAAGAAGCTCCTGGCTCCCAGCTTCAGATCCACGTAGCTCCAGCCGTTGCAGCCATTTGGGAAGTGAACCAATGGATGGAAAACCTCTCTCTCTGCCTCTGCCTCTCTGTAACTCTGCCTTTCAAATAATTAAATAAATATTTTAAAAAAAATGCAGTTACAAGGGGCTGGCATAGCGGCATAATGTATAAAGCCACCACCTGCAATGCCAGCATCCAGCCGCTCCACTTCTGATCCAGCTCCCTGCTAATACACTTGGGAAAGCAACGAAAGACAGCTCAAGTATTTGGGACTCTTCACCCACATGGGAGACCTGGAAGAAACTACTGGCTTCTGGCTTTGGATCAGCCCAGCTTCGGCCATTGTAGCCATTTGAGGAGAGAACAAGTGGATGAAAGATCTCTCTCTCTCTCTCTCTCTCTCTCTCTCTCTCTCTCTCCCCCTCCCTCTCTCCCTCTCTCTCTGTAACTGTCTTTCAAATGAATAATAATTTTTAAAATGTAATTACAAAATCAGCATATGAAAAAGGTATTTGCACATTTATGTAGTTCAATTCACAATAACAAAGATATGCAGTCAACCTAGATGTCTATCAGCTCATGACTGAATAAAAAAATGTGGTATGTGCATACACAATGGAATATTACTCAGCTATAAAAAGAATGAGGGAGAGAGAGCTATCTCCCATCTGCTGATTCACTCCCCAGATGCTCACAACAACCAAGGCTGGGCCAAATTAAAACCAAGACTCAGGGGGCCAGCACTGTGGCCAAGGGGTTAAAGCCCCAGCCTGCAGTGGCAGCACCATATGGGCTCTGGTTCCAGTCCCGGCTGCTCCACTTCCAATCCAGCTCTCTGCTAATGCATCTGGGAAAGCAGAAGAGGATGACCCAAGTGCTTGGACCCCTGCACCCACGAGGGAGACCTGGAAAAAGCTCTTGGCTCGTGACTTCAGTCTGGCAATACCTAATGGTATTGCTGCCATTTAGAGAGTGAACCGATGGATGGAAGACCTCTCTCTCTCTCTCTGTCTCTGTAACTCTGCCTTTCAAATAAATAAAAATAAATCTTAAGAAAAAAAAAAAACAGGAGTGTGGAGCTTAATCCAGTCTCCCACGCAGGAGATGATGGACTGGATTAGACCATCATCCACTGCCAGCCAGGTATGTATCAACAGGAAGCTGGATGGAAAACAGAGCCGAGACTTGAACAAGGCACTCTGATACAGGATGCAGGCATCCCAAGCAGCACACCAAATGCCTGTCCAACACATGATGTTTTTAAAGTACACCCAATCAGAAATAACAGCAGTAATTAATCCGAAGTCTTCAGTCAAGTTTTATGAGAGTATGCTGAAAGAACCTTCCCTGATATGTACATACGCAAATGATTATAGGTTATGGAGTATAGTCTATTAGCAGGGATGAGATCTTTAAAAAGTAAAGTTCTGTGATGTTCCCCAAATTTTAGGAAGTGTTCCTCCTCAGCCACCATGCAGTGATAGGGTTTTGTCCCTCATATTGCAAGGCTAAGCGACTCCTCAGAGAAAGAATTTGGAGAAAGAGATTGTGGCATCACTGTCCCTCCCACAGTCAGAACATGTGTCCTGCAGGGCTGATGTGTCTGGCTCTCCAGCCGTTGCCCCCTGAGAGAGCCAGCACATCCCCCAGGCAATCATGGCAGACAGATTGGCTTCTTTTTTTTTTTTTTTTTTTTTTTTGAAAGTCAGAGTTACACAGAGAGGAGAGGCAGAGAGAGAGAGAGAGAGAGAGAGAGAGAGAGGTCTTCCATCCAATGATTCACTCCCCAAATGGCCCACATGGGTACAGGGACCCAAGGACTTGGGCCATCTTCCACTGCTTTCCCAGGCCACAGCAGAGAGCTGGATCAGAAG